CCAGGGCGCTGAGCTGGCCTTCCTACCATTCTCTTCTCTTCCCGAGTGTTCTAGTAAACTCAAGTTAGCATTCAAGACTCTCCCCGTCAGTCATTTCCTTCTCCATGAAGCCCCCCTGAGCTTCCCTCTCACCCCCAGCCCCTGCACACCTCCACTACTTCTTCTGTGTCCCTGGTTCGGCCTAGTGTCCGCGTGCACATGGAACAGTGCATTGCCCATTCCCAGCTGGACCAGGACTATTCCACTCCCCAGGTTGTCCGATTTGCTCCCAGGTTGTCTTTAGGGCTTTACAACAATCCATCAGATGTTACTGAAAATCTTTTAGAAAAATATTTTTTTTCAACTGAGAGATAACAAAGTGCATGAAAGTGCAACAGTCTTGGGTGTATTGCTTGATGGCTTTATGTGTGATTCAGGTCATTTTTTGGAAAACATTTTTGGCATCCATTTGATGCACGTAGGAACTGGGTCCCAGAGGTGGAGGTGGTGAGCAGCGGAGCCTGAGCCCAACCAGGGTGAGCTAGGCCTCGAGCCCCAGCTCAGGCCGCCCCCCTCAGTCTGTAAACAACACCCCCCTCTCCCTTCAGCTGATCACCATTCCGACTGTAAGAGGTACCTTTTTAAAGGTGCTGTGTTTTGGTTTTTTTCATTGTGGTGAAATACTCGCATGTATATACACAATAGGGTGGGTTCACCACTTTTAAGTATACAGGTCAGTGGCATCAGGTACATTTTTTAAAGTTATTCTTTACATTGAGATGACACGGGCAATACTTTGTTGGGGTAAATCAGGTGATGACAAAGAAGCTGCTAGGGTAGAAAGTGAAAGTGCCCCCAACCTCAGTGTCTTCCTCCAAAGGAGCTGCTGTTTTCAGTTTTGTGTCCTTCCAAGCCTTGTTCATGTACAGCCTGTACTTGAACAGGTTTGGTTTTCAGTTGATGGTTTTGGTTTTTAACCGTAAATGGAGTCCTTGATTCTTTGATGTGTTGCAGCTATGTGTAGCCCGTGCCCAGGTCTTTCTAAGGGGGTAGAGGACGTTCTGTTGCCACCTGTGACTTGCGTCGCCCTGGCATGTTTCTATCCTTCACCCTCACCCCTTGCTCCTGATCCCTCTTGCTGTTCTTGCAGAGTCTGCTCTTAGATCCTGCAGCCCCTGAAAGGCTTTGATTATGAATCACCCGTGGCGAGTCACCTTCTCAAGTATTTAACTTGTAAGCAAGGACCAAAGTCTTAGATTACGAGGCGAAGGCTGGTGGGAAGTTGACTTGAACAAGCAGTCCAGGCAGATCTTTGCAGAGCACTTAACCACTCGGGCCTTCCTGAAATCACATTGGTGGCCTTCAGCTGGCCCTGACCTGAAAAGCCAGGTAAATGTCCAGTCACAGAGCCCTAGGCTCTCCTCCTACACCCCCTACTTGGGTACCTGGCAGAATGACTGCAGTCAGCAGGGTGGACTTCATCTCCATGCTCCTCCTTCAGCCCAGGCTCTGGGTCCCTGGGACATGCGCCCCTGGCAAAACCCGTCTGTGGCCTTTGGGGAATGCTTCCCTCTGAGGCATGAGTGGTGTGTTTTCATTACCCACAGGCCTTCTGGTTTTTGACTTTGAAGTGGGCTTTTCCCATTTCTTTTGGTTCCTTTCATTGAGCCTATGCTGTTGTGCTAAGTTCAGCCCTCAGGGCGGTGAGCTTCTGGGGGGGTGGGGAGGAGGGTCTCTCCCTTTGCATTGGGGCAGGCCTGCAACCATGGGTTGACTGGCAGCAGCCTCAGGGCCCTGTTCCTGGGGGCTTTCTGCCTGGACCAGCCTGGGTTGTCTTGTAACACAGGAGATTCTCCAGAGATGGCAGCCAGAAGGGTCTTGACAGCACCGGCAGGAATGATCATGAATCTCTGCCTGCATCTTCCAGCCAAGCCCTGTCAGCTTCTCAACAGCTGACAAACAGGGAGTTTGATGTTGTTAGTATTAATGAAAAAAGGTCAGATTTTTTAAAACATAGAAGAAAGGGACAAGTGAAATCCAAAACTCTGATGTTTGATGACCCTTGTTGAGTTTTTAAAAATTTAACAGGCACATATGATTTGAAATTTCAAGCTAAGCAGGAAGAAAAATATCAAAATATGAGAAACTTTCAGTGTGCTGGTGCGGGCACGCAGACAGAGCCACCCGCCTTCCCCAGCGGGAGGTGCTAACTAGTCTCCTGCAGTTTCCAGGCCGAGTGTGTCTGGCCCTGCCAGGGAGCCTTTGGGAAGCTTTCCCAGGGCCCTGCCGTGCTTCTAGTCTCCCTGGTCCTGCTTCTGTCTCGGCACCTCCAGGCCTAAGACGCCTTGGGTCTTCTCATGGTCTAGATCCCCAAGCTCTGGCAGACCTTCGCTGCTGACCTCCCGCTGGATGGACATTTAGGTTATTTCCAGCTGTTGACTGGGTGGTTGCATTTCAAAGGTTTGAAATTTCCCCAGTAAGCTTGTTTCCCTCCTCCTCGCTGCTCCCCTCCCCCTGCAACACCTGATCAAGAAAAGTGGATCCCTTTGGAAAGTTCTGAAATTCGTTTTTACAGTTGATTTATTTTTTTAATGGAGTTCATCCCACAGACAGTGGGAACTTATTAAAGAAACTTCACTGGGAAAGTGACATTTCAGTATATGCTTTGGGAAGGTGGGTCAGACATCTGTGTGCTGATTGGCAGTGGCAAGGCTGAACTTTCTCTCATAATGAGGCTGGATGTGAGAAAGATTGTGGGAACTTGAACAATGTGGAGCCTAGAACAGTAGGGGTAAGGGAACCTCCAAGATGCAGATTCTGACCCTTACGGGGCAGTAGATGGTTTAATGCAATGTTCAAGGGCATTGAGGCCTCAAGTGGGCTGGTGCGGCCAAGTGGGCTAATGCTGTTGTGTCGGGGCTTACTATACCGCCAAGCTCTGAAAGAACTTTATTTCCATGGGTCTGTCTAGGTCCAGGGGCCTGAAATTATTTGCTTCACATTTAGACAAGGCATCTGAGGCTCAGAGAGGCCCCATCACCCCTATAGGGTTCATGTGGGGTTCACCAGACCAGGCCCAGACCCCAAGCTTGGTTCCACTTCCCTTCTGCAGGGTCTTTATAGTCGTTCTGTACCTCTGAGTCCAGAGGGAGCGCAGGAGCGGCAGCTACGCCATCACGGTGGGGTGGGGTGGGGTGGGGTAGGGGGGGAAGGGTGGGGATCATCCGCTCATGGCAGCTAACTGTGTGGTGCTTTCCTCCATATCACGGGCAGTTTTCCTGTGCGGGGGCCTGGATGACTGTGTGTCCTGCCCCATGACTGGGAGTGAGTGGTGATGGGAGGAAGCAGCCACTTCATTTTAGGGCCTTAACTTCTCAGTTAGCATCCCTCAAGGGGAAGATGGGGGTTCAGCACATTGCGCCTTCGGGGGGCTCTGACGACTGTGTCTGTCTGTGGCGCACAGCATAGTGCGTGCGCCCGCGCTGGGCTCTTGCTCATTGGCATCAGTAATGAACATCTGGCTTTCCTGGACAACAGAAGCATGTCTCAATTTATCTGTCATTTTCGTGGGTGACTAATCCAAAGGTAAATAAAAATTAATGTTTGGATTTGGGTGCTAACTTAGTTTTCAATTAGATTTTGTTTTGAGCATTATTGAAATTAATCTCTGTTCCTTGAGAACATTCCACTTACTGGCAAGATAGGGTGGCCCCCAGAACGCAATTGGTGGCTATTTGGTAAAAGGCGAAAGATTTATACGATCTGAAGAGAAACCAGAGTATAATTGGTGGCTATTTGGGATAAATTCAGGAGATGGATAATTCCTATCAATCAAGATCATAGTGAAGTTTACTTTTTTTTTTCTTTTAATGGCAAAACCATATCTGAATATCTACGCTCTGGAAAGAAACACTTCTGTCGAATGCTGCCCCAAACAAATCAGTTTTCTTTTGTCTTTGTTCCTTTCTATACCTGGCCCGTTAGCATGTGTGTGCTGTTTAGGGTGCTGCTGGGCCTGAGCTCCTGGTGAAGCACTGTTAGTCTAGGAAGAGTTTGGACTGGGGGCTTGGACAAGCTTCACTTCAGAGTCTGGTATAGCTTAGTCGCTGTGTGACACTGGGCAAGTCACTTAACCTTTCTGAGCCTCTATCTTCTCATCAATACAGTGGGGCTGATGTCCCCTCGATCTCACCGGGAGCAAGGACTGAGATACAGCTGTTTCCACAGTGCAAGTCACGAACCAGTGGGAACTGAGGCCTTTTCATTTTTCTTCAAATCCTTCTGACTTTTTAGGGCAAAAACTCCTCCCTTTGGGCTGAGCTAACCTTTAAGCCATCACTGATACGTGATGACTCCTCTCCTAAAGAGAGCTAGCACTCAGCTACCTTCTGTGAACCTTGCTTTTTCTTTTCTGTTGTTTTTATAATAACAAGGAACCACTGGTATTTGATTTCCCAGGGTGATAGTTTCTTTTAAAAGGGATGTATTCAATTAGAAGTTAATGATAACACCAGACATACATTGTACAGATAGTACGTGAGTTTGTATCCCAGCTCTGCCACCTCCTGAGCTGTGTGACCTGGGGCATGTCGCTTAACGTTTCTCAGCCGGCTTTTCTTGTCTATAGAACAACAAGGTGGCACCCACGCCGTCCCATGAGGTTGGTATCAAGAATGAGTGAGACAGTATAGTCAGACCCTTCAAACTGGTATCCTGCATATCCAAAGTGCCATCACCACGGTCGCCAGCCTGTGGCTAGCAGGGAGCTGGTGTTGGTAACGAGCAGCTTCTGACTTAGTGTGGTGGGCAGGGAATGGTCGCTGCTGGTGGCTTGAGTATTCCATAATGGCAATGTCAATAATGACAAATAATGTTAATAAAAACCATCGTAATACACTTGGAGATAGCTTTTGTCATGTAAGAAATGAACGTCTTAGGGCAGAAATTCTCGGGCACGTGGACCGGGTCTAGTGAGAGTATAGTGTTCAAATCTGTCTGTTTTCTTGCTTCGGCTCTCCTAGGCCAAGCCCAGCATTCGGTGCTTCATTAAACCCACCGAGACGCTGGAGCGCTCCCTCGAGATGAACAAGCAGAAGGGCAAGAGGCGGGTGCAAAAGAGACCCAACTACAAAAATGTTGGGGAGGAAGAAGATGAAGAGAAAGGGCCCACTGAGGATGCCCAGGAAGACGCCGAGAAGGCCAAAGGTACAGAGGGTGGTTCAAAAGGCATCAAGACAAGTGGGGAGAATGAAGGTGAGTGTACCTGTGAATGCCCCTGTCACCCCGCTGCAAGCCAGGCTGTCACTTGTGTCTCATCCTTCCAGTGGGGGCGTCTTTTACTGCTTACCCCAGTGTGTCTTACTCTGCGCTATCCAGCCGCTGGGAGACCACTGTAGGCAGAGCCAGTCCAGGACTATTCCACACCCCCCCCTCCCCACACACACACACCTGCATTGGACGGGGAACCTGAACCAGGTTCTGTACTTTTAACCCTGTGCCTCAGTTTCCTTATCAGTAAAAAGAGGGTAAAGTATAGGATCTTCTTTGTTATTACAAGAATTAAGTGAATTAATATATGTAGTGTGTTCAGAGCAGTGTCTGGCCCGTATTCACTGCTGCTGTTATTATTATTATTTGCTGCTGTTGCCTTTATTATTATTATTGTCATCTTCATCACTAACACTGTTCTCATTGTTCCCGATAACCTAAATTATGAATTGTTACAGAAGTTATTATTTCCAGTGTTTTGTAGGAAAAAAAAGGGGGTCATGTTGAGTGAAATTATATGTTTTCAGTAAGATTATTATTTTTGGATTGAATAATCAAATGTAATTTGCTTCTTACACTCATATTTTTCACAGTCCTGTCTGTTCAGGGTGAGGTACACTTACGTGTGCGGCGTAAATGCTCAGTAAGCAGAATCACTCCCCCCTCTTTTTTGCCCTTGTCAGGAATGATTCTGGTTTACTTTTCCACTGTCCTCTCATTTAGATGCTCAAACTTCAGTCTCTGCTCTGGGATTAACTAGGCGTGAACTGTCCAGTTCTGTGGGTTCTGGGCCCAACTCACAGCCACACAGATGGGGACTCTGGCCATGGCCCCAGGCCTTCAGGTTGGGGATCTGAATGGGTCCAAGCAGGTGGGGGCTGTGCTCGCTGGTGCCGAGCTCCCCCACACCTCCTGGCGCAGGCTCAGGTGTGGGGAACACTTCCTGCCAGGCGTCCTCCTGGCCCTGGGCTGGCAGGGCTGTTCCAAAGCCAGCTGCCCCTCACCTCTTCAACCTGGACATTGTGAGCACCCCAGTCTGGATCCTCTGAAGCTAGAAAATGGAGCCACTTACTAAACCAGGGACCGGACTCATCTGTTTTGGGGAGTTAGCAGTGATTGAGCAGGCCGAACACTCACCCACTCCCAGCCCTCTCCCCCACCCTGCTCTGCTGGTCTTGGCAGCTCTCAGTGAGTGCCACGATTGCAGTTCAGTGCGTCCAACTAGCGCGTCTCTGGCGCCATTGCCCTCCCTTTAAGGATGAGTCTCCAGCCCACTTGTCTTTCTTCAAAGTGTACCATGAGCATTTTGGTTTAGGAATTCTTTCTCAGTTCGGGAAACTTCCTTTGCCTACAAATATCACTTCGGTGGGGAGATGAGGGACAGACCTGGGTGAGCCATGCTTATTTGCATACTTGAGTGTTTTTGATTTTCATTTGTAAGTCAGGAAAAAATTGTCTATTTCAACTCGAAAGTTTAGCTGTCCTATTGCCACACTGTGGGGAGAGGGGAGACCACCTCATTTCTCATTGATTTTGTTTCGGAAAGAAGCTACCTCTCCGGTTCCAGTCCTTTTAAGGGCTCTCTCAGTGCAGGCCTGGCCGTGACTCACCGTGCTGTGGACAGGGCAGGCTTGGCCCCAGCACACCAGCAGATGAGTCAGTAAGGGGCTCCTCCGCCTGGCAGGACCGCCGTCCTGCCCACTGTATGGATTGGGGCTCCCTGAACGCCGACCCCACCTACCCACCTGTCCTGCTCACCAGTCTCTAAAAGTGTGTTTTCAGAGTGGTTACTCAGTCACGCCATGTCAGACAGGCTCTGGGCTTTGCCTGCAGGCTAGTTCCAGGACCTGGCTCAGCGGGGTTCTTGTGGTTCCCCGGCTATTTTGGCATCCTCCTATTTTCTCATTCTGAAATACCATGGGGCTGTCCTTGTCCTACTCAGCTCACCCCAAAATGAGCACTGCCTTCTCAGGCCCACTCAGCTCAGAGATGCCTAATGGGTGGCGGCAGCTGTGTCCTAGAGTTTTTTGAATCATATTTTGATCATTTTGTTATTCTCATACTTGCAGGCGCAGCTGGTGGGTGTTCTCTCCTTAGATGGCATCCATGCTTGGGTGAAACCTCACAGCTGTTAATCCCTGGGACTTGGAAGGATGTCAGGCACATTTTCTCATTCAGTTTCAAGCCAGTAGACAGTCGAGGGGAGGGGGGGAAGAGGCGGCACCCCAAGGACTGGAGGCCTGGCCTACCGCCTGTCTCCATGTCCTCCAGGGCTAGTGTGTGCCGGGATGGACTCAAGGTTCCAGACTCCATCTTCCCCAGCTGGAATGCACGAGTATAGAAAATATAATTCGCATGCTCCTGGTTTTTTAAAATGTTCAGGTCCTTATAGTTGTATGATTTAGAAATTCAGGCTGGCTTATGCAAAAAGAATATTGTTCATGTCACTGGGAGGCTTGGGTGAAGCTGGGTTCAAGTGTAGCGATGACCTTGGGCAGCTCCAGGCTGCCAGCGTGCCCCACGTGGAGAGGGAGTGCTCCTCCCACTGGCTATGGCCGAGGTCCGGAGGCTGAGGGGCCTGGGTGGCCCACCCTGTAGCGGGAGGCTGTGTGCTGTAGGCCAGGCTGGGGCCAAGTGTCCACCCTTCTGTGACTCCCGCAGTGCAAATGAGCTGGGGCTATCAGAAGCAGGGGCATTGGTGCCAGGCCAGTGGAAACAGCAGGTGGTCCCCTAGAAAGCCACACTCAGCCTCTGTCACCCTTCTCTCTGCCTCTGTGAGGTGAATGCATGGTTGTGCTCTCCTCCTATTATTCCTTCTTGCGTGTCCCAGCATCTAGGACTTTTCCAACAGCCTAGCACAGATGTGACAGACAGGTACCCCTGGCCACCCCCATTTAGGGGGACCATCTTTACCTAAAAAGGCGGCATAAAGAACAGGAGTGTAAAAGCATGTGGTCACAAGTCACAGTTTTGCCATGACCTGATTTGAGTGTGGCATTTACGTGTTTTTTTCTATAAACGCAACACGCAGAATTGTGTCCACACCTCCTCCACAGTGAAGCCCAGACGAGGAAGTTGTGTGAAATGAATGTGCACCCCTGGACCATCTACTCCCGTCCCCGGTTTACAAAGAAATTTGCTCTGCCTCAGCCCCCAAGTGATGGATGACTCATTCTGAAACCAAGAAAATCACAGGGCCCCTAAATTTGCAGAATTGAACCCTTGAAGAGGAGGAGTGCCCAGGCCCTGTCGCTGGAGGAGGGTTCACACGGCCACATGCTCATGCGCTAGGTGCTCCTTTTGAATTGAGTGACTTAATAAGCAGACCCAGAGTAAGAGAAGGAGTCATTTGAACTTATCGTCTAAATGTTGGGCTCGACTTTTGGGTTTTGCCTATAGAAAAAGTAAGCACCGGTTTCCTGGCCTGACGGCAAGGCCTGAGCCTTTCTTGGAATGCCAGCCAGGGCCGGGAGCAAAGGCAGCAGCACTAACTCCAAACCAGCCAGGACCACAGAGCAGTGAAGGGTACTGGGGAGTCAGGAGCCCCAGCTTTGGTTTTTGTTTTTGAAGTTTCTACTGAAGTGAATGGAATCTGGCCCTGTTTCTGGCTCCTCTTGTAAAGTCAGGGGCAGTGCGAAACTCAGCAGTGTTTTCCTATTGCTCGAGCAAGAGGACTTCTCTGGAAAGGCTGGGTCTGCCTCCCAGGCCCCTGAGCAGCTCTCCGACCCTGGCAAAAGTCATCAGCCTTTCTGGGCTTTTCTTCTCATGAGGGGGTTTCACAACACATCCAGCCCCCAGGTTGTCAGAAAGGAGAACATCGGTGTCTCAGCACTTATCACTTGACACACATGAGCACTGCACGAGAACAGGACCCCGGCCGAGACGAGAAGGGAGCAGCGTGCCGGGAAGGGGCACTTGAACTTGGTTCGGGGCACTTTGTGGTTGGGCACTGTTGACTTTCTATGGGGCCTGTTTCCCTGTTAATCTCTAGAACAAATAAGTGAGGGGTGTGTATGTGTGTGTGAGAGAGGGAGAGAGAGAGAGAGAGAGAGAGAGAGAGAGGAGAAGGATCAGCAGGCTGGGCCACTGTTTAGTGATGTGGGAGTGCAGGCTTTTCAAATGGCTTTAACTAGTATAAGGAGAAAGACTGGAGGTGAGTTCGGACAAATCCTCTGAAAAGAGCAGCTCCCTAGAGACACATCTGAATGCCTCTCGAGCTATCCAGTAAAGGATAGTACAGACAGAGAAAGGGCTTCCCCAAGTACCGGGCACACGCACACCCTGTCCCGGCCAGGTGCTGTTCACCTCGCCCCCAAGCCAGCCAGCGACCCCCCACCAGCCTTCCTGTTTGTTCCCAGGTGACCAGCTAAGGCATCTTTCTCCTCCTTCCCTAACTTTCCTTTAAGGCCTGTTGGTTCCCCCGTCCTCTCGTTGCACTGTCTGTCCTTGCTCTGACATCTATAACGTAGAACTCAGAGGGCAGGTGAGAAGGTCCTTGAATCTGTGAAGGCAAAGACTGCCGGGAGGTCAGGCCTGACGTTTCCCTGAAAAGGGCATCATTCATCACCCGCTAATGAGATCAGGACGTACAGCATCCTAGGCAAGTTGATGAACTATTGCTGTTGTTTAAGAAATCAGGGTGTCAGGGTGTTGGGGAAGGTCATGGATTGGCCAGAGCTGTCCCGGAGAGGTGAAGGCGATGCCTTGCGTCCTGGGTCCTTGGGCCTCTCCTGGATGCTCAGTGCCCTGCAGCCTCCACCACCCCCAACCACCCCCTGGCCTGCAGACCTCTCAGCTGCCCACATGGAAATAACCCCATTAAACAGCTCCCCGCCCCCCTCCCCGCAGCCTCACACCCACCATTCTGTTTGCTGTCTGTGAACTTGACAGCTCCACCTACCTTGACAGCCTTTTCCTTCTGTGGCTGGCTTAGTTCATGCAGCTTTGTCTCCTCTGAGTTGTCTCCTCTAGGGCTGCCAGGACTT